TATCAGCTGGTCTGCAACCCTGCTGGCGTAAATATTCTTCTGGACCTTACCATCTGCATAGATAATTGGTAGGGAGAACAAGGAGACAAAAAGACCCCTGCATATCCCATATTGTAGAATCATAGAATACCGGAAATGGAAGGGACCTTTGGAAGTCATCAAGTCCAGTCCCCTGTACTCAAGGCAGAACCAAGCACCATCTAGATCATCCCTGATAGATGTTTATCTAACCTGCTCTTAAATATCTCCAATGATGGAGATTTCACAACCTCCCTGGGCAAATTATTCCAGTGTTTAATCACCCTGAGATTTAGGAAAATTTTCCTAATGTCCAACCTAAACCTCCCTTACAGCAATGTAAGCCCATTGCTTTTTGTCCTACTATCAGAGGTCAAGGAGAACTATTTTTCTCCCTCTTCCTTGTAACATCATTTTAGGTACTTGAAAATTGCTATCATGTCCCCTTTCAATCTTCTCTTTTCCAAACTAAACAAACCGATTTATTTCAGTCTTCCCTCATAGGTCATGTTTCCTAGACCTTTAATCATTTTTGTTTCTCTTCTATGTGTGCTCTCCAATTTTTCCACATCTTTCTTTAAATGTGGTGCCCAGAACTAGACACAAGACTCCAACTGAGGCCTAATCAGTACAGAATAGAGCAAAAGAATTACTTCTCGTGTCTTGCTCACAACACTCTTGTTAATGCTTCCCAGAATCATGTTTGCTTTTTTAGCAAGTGTCACACTTAGAGATGTTAGATATTGTGTAACTGAATAGTTGTGTAACTGCATGAAATCTCAGTGGCTACACAACTATTCAATTGTGCCTGGGGGCAGGATGGCAGCCAGTGCGCTCTGAACCCACTCCCGGGGAGCCCCCTGTGACCTCCTACTTCTGCCTCTATCAGAAAGCCAGCTTTTAAGTCAGCTCCTCATGGGTACCGGCTCCTGTCCCTCCTTGCTGCCTCTGAAACAAAGGCAGAAAGGTCGGGGTGGGGGTGGGGAGAGGGAATGCGTGTAGTTGACACAAGAAACCAATAAGCCTAGGCTTACTGGTTAATTGTGTAGTCTACATGCTGTCATCCCTAGTCACATCCTTGACTAAAATTTAGCTTGTGGTCCATTCTGATCCCTAGATCCCTTTCTGCAGTACTCCTTCCTAGACGGTCACTTCCCATTCTGCATAAGTGAAACTAATTGTTCCTTCCTAAGTGGAATACTTTTCATTTGTCCTTATTAAACTTCATCCTATTTACCACCTCAGACCATTTCTCCAGTTTGTCCAGATAATTTCTATTTATGACCCTATCCTCTAAAGCATTTGCAATCCCTCCCAGCTTGGTATCATCTGCAAACTCTGTAATTGTACTTTCTATGCCATCATCTCTGATGAAGATATTTAACAGAATTGTTCCCAAAACTGATTCCTGCACAACTCCATTTGTTATGCCCTTCCAGCATGACTGTGTGCCACAACCTCATTTTCTGCATCACTTGCTAACTCCATGCGTTTTATGCCTGCCACCCATGCATAAACTTAACTTATAATTTTAGAATATATTTACACTTTATCTAGAAGAGCCCTTTTGTACAAATACAGCCTACGCTAGAAGTTTTTTTTCCTGACAATTTAAGAGCATTTTCTCCCCAATTATATTAACTATGCTGATGTAGCTGATGTAGCTGGTTATTTGTTTGGTTTTTTTTAGTCAGAGCTATTTTGGTCAAGGGTGGTTATTTTTCATACCCTGACCTACATAGCTATGCTGACATAACTTAAGAGTAGACCAGCATTCAGGTAATCCAAATTTTTTCATGTAGGACCTACAGTGTAAAGGTGGTATAAATACTAATGCATTGACCTCAATTGCGTACTAAACTGTATAGATGTCATCATATTTTTTTTCTAATCAAATGAGTTCATTTGCAATTCTTTCTACAACCCATATTACTGCTTAGTTACATTACAGAAGTACTTTTTACCTTGCAGTTGCCAAGACATACTCATAACGCGGGGACCAGGCCACTGCCAGAACTTCCTGTCTGTGACCTAGAAATGGGGTACCATGAGAAATTTCAGGTAACTTATTGACTAGTTTATCAATTTACTACTAAAACCAATACTGTGGTATTAATTTGGAGTATATGGGAAGCGTGTTCATGTTCCTTATTTTGGGTTATTGGCAGTTTACACTTCTATTTTCCACCTCTGCTTGGGTGGAAATGCATTCAGCTGAAAGTGATAAGAAGAATACTAAGGTTACCTCCATACTTTGCTAGCCCAGATAAGCTTATCATTTTACAGCTGTGCTAACAAAAGGATAGCACAAACAGCTACTAAGACTCCTTCATTCAGTTACAGAATATTAACAGTAATATTTAAAATAAACACGTGTAAAAACTATTTAGTGTTTGTTTTTATTTAGCTATTTCATTGTGCTTTATTGAAGATTTAAAAAAAATATATGTAAATGTATTCATCATGCCTATATCTAGATTATTTATTCTACTCATTACCAACATCCTAAATTTGAAGTTAAATGTGTGGGGTTTTTTTCAATTTCTTAGCAGCATGAGGTTCATGCACTGCTTATTGGGTGGTGATATAATACATTTATTAACAAACTGTAGAGGTTTTTGAGCTCTAGAAAAATCTATAAACAATAGCAAGTGTTAGACAATCTAAATATAGGGTTGCTACTAAGCTCCTTAAAATAAAATGGATATAAACAAGCAAATAATCAGAGTGATTAAAATGAAGGTTATTTAATATACAGACATGTTTGGTCACATAACCAAGAATTACTTACATGATTTACTTCTGTACACCTGTATCATCAAATTCAACATTTCATTTATATTTCCCTTATAGTGTTTCTTTTCTATTGCCAACTGCCAACTCAAACACTGAGTCTTTTCAAAGTCATTATTAGATACATTTTAAGGTTCAGATACTACTATCCTTATATCGAGTAATATCTTATTCCCTGAGCTTCTGAAGCCTAAGAGTCTTACAGAAAGTAAATCTATACAAATGCCCTAAACAATATTTTGTTTAAAAATACTAAGATTTTTGTAAAAAAAAACCCACACAGAATCACCATAAACACAAGTATAATAATGCTTGAGGTTCTAAAAAACACATTTAAACACATTTGAAACAAATATTAATCTACTGGTACAATTGTGTTAATTTTCACCAGAAAGAGAGTCTACTATTCTCTAATGATGCTGTATGGAATTTGCATTTTAACGAAATGGTAAATTAAATAGGCCCAGAAGTCTCTTAAAACTTCTATATCTCAACAACTTGTAATTTGTTTTTAAAAATAAACTGCATTAACTAGATAACACTTTGGCTCACCTAATTAATATTTTGACTAAAGAAGTCTGAGTCATACAAACAGAAATACCTTAGAGCATGCTTTTATTTTCCTTCAAACTGATTTCAAACATGTCTAGCTACTTTAGAATGATTTAAGGTTAGCTAGTACAGTAAAACTCCATTAGTCCGGCATCCAATGCTCCGGGACTCCTGATGGTCCGGCATCATCAGGAACCCAGAAGTGCTGGGGCAGCCGGACAGGCTTCCCCCATTCAGCTGCTGCTGAAACTGACCAGCAGCTCAATCGGGGACGCCTGGGGCAGAGCAGCTGGGGTCCCGCCGGGTTGGTCCCACAGCGCCGTCCTTTGGCGCTGCGGGACCAACCCGGCAGTACTCCAGCTGCTCTGCCCCAGGTGTCCCCAAGAGCCACTGGGGGTGCTCTGCGTCTGCTCTATTGCAGGCACCCCCGATTCAGCTGCTGCTGAAACTGACCAGCAGCGGCTGAATCAGGACGCCTGGGGCAGAGCCGGACTATCGTAAGGGGGGGGCTATAAGGGGTCTGGGGTGGCATCCCCTCCCACCCCACTCCAGACCCCTCATAGCCCCTCCTTCTGATAGTCCAGCATATCTGATAATCCGGCACCCCCTGGGTCCTAAAGGTGCCGGATTATCGGAAGTTTACTGTACTCCAGAAATTAAGAGTTATTTTGAAAATGTCCACAGATCTAAAATGATTGCTGTTCTTTAATTAATATTTGTTCTCCAATTCAGTAGCAGTAGAATAATACACAGAAAGACCTTTTTCACAGTATAATTTTCATAACTGGTACTAAGCACATTAGTCACATTACTTACAAAGAACACACTGTTTACAGAGTTTCTTTACACTGGCTGGTTTAGTCAAAGTAGTTATTGTTTAAAAATTATGGTTCAGACTAAAAAGTACCCTGCAGAATTTGAGAACAGGATCCAGACTTCAAGTCACAAAGCTGTACTTTGGGGCTTTTGGTACCAACTGTAACAAGAAAAATAAGACAATATAAAATACCAATTTTTAACAAAGAATAAAAAGTCTAAGAAGTCTAATTACAAAGATATGAAACTGATAGTTTCTTTATAAGATTTTGCACTGATCAAATTACCATCAAATAGAATTGTAGTTGAAATGAATTTTAAAATAGATTTGTATTTTCAAAATCTCTGCATACAATTCTACTGAATTTTCCATATTAATGTATTTAAAGGTTGTTAGGGAAACAAGGCTACTTTTTTTTCCTAGATTTATAAATTAAGAATATAGTTCCTTCTCTAAAGAGTTTGTTTACTAATAGTCAAAAGTAAATACCTACAGTACATAGTACACATTCAAATCCAATAGCTCTCAAGACCAAATATTGATTTAGCTGTATTAACTGAATTGTGTGTATTTAGAAACACTGTAACTGAACCAAAAAAATTCAGTGATGTGTGATTTGCTCATATCAGAAATGCAAAGGGGGTATCCTACACAGTATAAACCCAAATTAAATTATTTTATTTTTAAAAAATGATCTCAGTTTTCTGAACTATTTGGTATTACTTGCTTGAAAAATACTTGACTACTACTGAACATGAAAAAAGTCATTAAAGAAAAATAAATATACTAATTTTGAATCATTTGCCTCTTATTACAACACAGAAGAACTTCTTAAAAGTATAAACATACCTGCTATTAAGCAATGCTTAGTGGCAACTGGAGACATATGATGGCTATAAACTGTTCCCTCAAAAGTAAATACATCTGCAGGCTAGTAATTAAAAGAAAACAAGTATCAGCTTTGCCCCTTGATTAATACCATAATGAGAATTTGAATCTCTTCTTTAAAACTGGTTGTGTGTTTTTCAAGTTAGAGTTAATGTTTATAAGGCTGATCAAATGCTAACTGCTGACTGAGTTCCTAATCATGCAAATAGTCATGCTACATGAACTAAACATCCAGTATTAGCGGAGCACGGAGCTAACATAGCAGAGAGCACTAAAGCATGGAAGAAAATGCTCTGAAAGAGAGTTGCAAAGGGGAAAAAAAAGGTATCAAGGAAGAAGATGGGGTATGGAAATGGAAATCAGTAATAATAGGAAAGAAAGAAAATGTCTTATACCAGAGCCAGCACCAGCTGTTAACAGTTTGCACTCTAATTTTTTATGTCCATGTGTGGAATGAATTTTGTTATGTGCATCCATATGGAGATGGTGTGTGACAACATTCATTTTGCACATGGACAATCTGTGGTAAAGGTGGGGCTGAGGGGTTTGGTGTGTGGGACATGGCTCAGGGTTGTGCGGATAAGAGCTCTGGCTGAAGGTGTGGGCTCTATGGTTGGGGTACAGGAAGGGGCTCCAGGCTGGTGCCAAGGGGTTTGGAGTGAAGGAGTGGGGTTTAGGGGAGGAGGCTGGGATGTGAGTGCAGGATCTGGATGGAAATTAGGGTACAGGAAGGGGTGCTGGGTTTTTAAAACTATCATTTAAATAGGTTGATTTTTTGATATGACCAAATTCAGCCTAAGATTTTCATGGGAAGAACAGACGTCCTTTAAACTACATAGTTGTGCAATGTTTTATTGAGTCTCTGATAAGTCATTTTCAAAATTTAAATTACTATCTTGTATAGTTTTCACAGTAATTTTTGCTGAATACTCAGAGAAAACTGGAAAGGAAGCAATACTTTCATAGTTATGTCACTGAATTCTTTCCTCTCTTTCAACAGAAATCCTTCTGCATAAGATTTCTTTAAAATTCTAATTTTTAAAAAACCGAAATAATAAAAACTGGAATAGATTCAAATGTTAGTGAGAAAGTAAAATGAGGGTCTGAAACATAAGCCTACGTATCACAGGTCGGGTATGAGACCCGAGACCTAGACAGCAAAGGTCAAGACTTTGCTAATATAAAGCAGAGTTAAGCTGTGAACAAAAGGCAGGCCATGCTCTCAGAAATTGGTAAGAACAGAGCTGATAATACAGAAATACTCATACCTAAGAGGTACTAGGCCCAGGTTGTAAGAACATTCCAGAGGGGTCGTAACAGAACACCTCGTTAAGAAACATCTTGGTACCAACACTCCCCCACAAGTAACATACATACTGATCCAGGTTCAGGATAGGGTCTGAATTGACAACATGATCAACTGTAGTGGAAACCCCCCCTTTTGTGAGGTAAGGGGTGGAAACTAGCTAATAGTGGCAACCTAATGGTGGCAACCTGATATGTCAGAAGTGATATGCAAGTTGTTTGTAACTGTGTATAAAAGAGCACTCCAAAGGCTGGTTGTCGGCTGATCATGAGGGGAACACTAGAATCCAGAATGTTTTCTTGGGTGTTAGTCCATTGTCATGGCATATGTATGTATAGTGGTGCAGCGGTGAGTCTGTTTGCTGACCACTATTACCGTACCTCTCTTGGTGTCATGGCTCCTTCCCCACTCCGGCACGATAAATGCAGAAGTGGGGGCCAGCAAGTGTACCCCAAAGCTTTATCTACCAGGCTTTGGTCTAAAACTTCACCCAGAATCTTAAAACTATTGATTTTGGGAATAGAACTTCCACTGCCACCACCCAAAAATTAAAAACATAATCAGCCGAAAGATCATTTGGGAAATCTCACCCCTAAAATAAAAATCAGGATACACAATTAACCAATGCCAGGTTAATAAAAAGAAAAGAGAAAACTTTTGTTATTACAACAATATTCCTGTTGCAAGCATAATGACTAGATGGAAAGGTAACAAAATATACACATGGAGAAACTCCATGGGCCTAGAACTTAGTTACAAAGAAAAGCCAAAACATCTTTTAAACAGTACCAGACATCAGATCCCATACCCAAACCTTAAACAATAAAACCTAATGGATTTATCTAAACTTTATCCTACTTACAGAAAGTGAAGAATTGTTTCTTGGAGAGAAGGAGAGGGAAGGGGGGGGGGGAAAGAGAGGGAGAAAGAGAGAGAGGTTTGTCCCTTTCTGTAGCTGCAGAGGAACTCCCAGAGACAAAAAAGGGAAAAACCCAAATTCCTATGTCCCAGTTTGAAATTCCTACCTACATTCCTATTGGCCACGCCACCTGGCTAGGTGTAGTTAACTCCTTAGTCCCCAGGCTGCTGGCTAACCCTCATAATCATGACACTTGGCAATAAACCTACTCTGGTGCTTTCAATCCTTATTTGATTTGTGGTCTCTGGGAGCTCTTGGAGTCTGTTGTGTTGACTAATTGCATATGGTTAATGCGTTAGACACACACACATGAAGCTGAAAGTTTATCATCATTGATGGAGTAGAGGACCTGTCAGGAACCCATTGGGATGACCTTGACCACTGATTTGGTAAGCAAGCGAACTGTTATTCTTTGTTGGAATTGTGATCTGACATGACAGAAAACCACAAACCATATCACTTCCCTTCAAGTACCCCCAAAGTTAGATGAAATATGGACCTGTTGGATTGCCAAGTAAGGAGGGCCATATGAGGTTAAAAAAAAAAAAAAAGAGTGTGGGGAAACACGGACTTCTAGAGCCATAGCAGAAACTGAAGCGTTGAAAAATAGTAATACAATAGAGTCCCGATTATCCGACCTAAACAGGACCGATAGGTAGTCGGATTAATGAAAATGTCGGATAATATGGAGTACAGATTACCTGTAGTTGATTCGGGTGCTACGGGTGAAGGGCGGCAGCACTTTGGGGATGTTCCGCTTGAAGGCTGCCAAGAAGGGTATTAGCAGCAGGAGCAGCAGCAGCGCCCAAAGCGACAGCAGCGAGCGGGGCTATTCTCCCGGCCTGCGCCCGGGGGCTGCAGGGAGGAAAGGGGACCCTGGAAAGCGTGCACAGGTGGGGATGGGGATGACCCCAGCTGCACCGTGATCTAGCAGCACCGGCAGGAGGCTCCAACCTGTGGGCTGGACTCTCAATCGCCCACCACACGCTTCAATTCAAGGGACCACAGCGGCTGGGGAGGGGAAATGGGCCCGGTCACATGGTAGGCGTCCAGCAGCAACGTGGGGTTTTAGTTTTGCTTTCAGGGGCTGCTGCTGGAGCCTCTTCAGCAGGGGAGGCTGCATGCGGCATGGCAGCGTGGGGCCGCTGGCCTTGGAGGCCGCTGGCCTTGAGGACTGAATGCTCGCGTTGCTCTAGGCTGGCTGGGGATTTCTCGACGAACCCCAGGATTTATCTGGCTATGTCAGATAAAGCGGAATGTTGGATAAGCGAAGGTTGGATAAGCGAGACTCTCCTGTAGTAGTAAAAAGCCTAGGATTTTGCAACTAATGTCTATGGCAGCGAGACGGTTTAAACAGCATGCCCCGCTGCTAGACTCACTAGTAATAGAACAAACTAGGAAATATAGAAAGTAACACAAGCAACGGAGCACTGGAAAGCCCAAGCAGGGCAACAGGCAATCCAAACTTGAACAGAAAAAGCAGGAAAGTAAGAGCTTGGAAAATGCGGTGGAAACCCTGCAAAACCTATCCTGGAAAAACTCCACTGGGTCCAGGGAACATGTCGTTTTGTTTGGAAGAGCAGACGCACTCTTTCAGAAGCCGTGTTTTCCTCATTTTATGCGGAGTAAAAAAAAAAAAAAGCTAGCAACATAATGTTTACCAAGCTTTTTAGTTAATTTGCTTTTGATACTAATACCACTTTTGTTAACTGTTTAGAAGCACAAAACTTACCTTTAACATTCTATAAAAGAAAATAGAATTTAAATCAAAATGAATTTTAACAGGTGTATGTAAACACTGATCACATCCCCAGTAGTCATTTCTTTTCCAACCTGCAAAGTACCAGTCTGATTACTTTCTTCTTCTATAGCAGCCATTCCCAACTACTAATAATTTGTTGCCTTTTTCTGAACTTTTTCCAATGTCAAGATTTTTTTTTTTTTTTGAGATGAGACAACCACATCCGCACACAGTATTCAAGATGTAGGCAAACCATGGATTTATATAGATGCAATAAAATATTCCTGTTTTATACTCTCTCCCTTTCTTAATGACTTCAAACATTTTGGTTCTTGATAAACACACAACACACTTTAAATAACAAAAAAGCAAAACTATGTCCTCCCTGTACAAAAAAAAGTTTACATCTCAACATTACAAATTTTAAAAGGTTTAGAAAATAATTTTCACATCTCATTTAAGTGAAAAAATATTGCCCATTGGAGAGGTCACCAACTAGTTGATTGCAATTAACTGGTCGATCCTGGAGACTCTCCCAGTTGATCATGATCTCCAGAGGTGTAGCGGGGCTGCCGATAACGTAGCCCCCCCCGCTGCTCTGGTACCATGCTGCTCTCAGACGTGACCAGTTCCTGCGTTGGGGAAGAGTAGAAGCAGAGGTCTCTGCAAGCTGCTTCTATCTATCAAGTGCACCACCAACTTGGAGTCACTTTAGGTGAGCCTGCACCTCAATCCCACGACCACAGCCAGCACTCCATACCTCTTGCTGCATTCCCAACCCCCTCCTAGAGCTCAACACTTCCCCATTCCAGAGCCTTCTCCTGCATTCAAACTCCCTCCAAGAGCTTGCAACCCTCACCTGCTTGTGCATCCTAGCCCCTGCCTCAGGTTCAGCCCAGAGCTTCTCTCACATTTCAAACTCCTTAGTCCAAACCCATATCCTGCACCCTCTCCTGAACCACAACTCCCTTTCTCAGACTGGTGAAGGTGAGTATGGGTGGGAGAGAGAAAGTGATGGATGCAGGGGGAAGATGGAGGAATCAGAGTGGGGCTTTGGCAAGAGATGGGGCAGACCCTGGGTTGCCCTTACATTCTTATCTTGGGTGTTAAAAGGCTGGAGCCTATTCTGTCCTTAGCATGACAGAATCTTTAGTTACCATTGTGTTCTCACCATAATGCATGAGGCAATATACTTGATAAACAAACAATGTCAATGTAAGAAAATAGATTAAACACAGTCCAAAGTTCATATCAATTATTAGAAGACAGAGTTTAGTAGGAGATTAATAGCTGGCAATGTGTAAACCTTAAGTAAGTCGTGACAGTTTGGTTAGTATTTTTTCCTCATGGTTTCCCTCACTTTATTGTTTTATGCTTAACAACTCCACTCCCACTCAAGTATGGCAAAAGATTTAAGCCATCAAAGACAATGTCCACATTGTTTATAATTACAAATTGCGCTATCAGGACCAGTTGTTGGTGGAAAAATGTATATAAAACAAGTCTGCCATCAAAAGCCACGTTTCTATTAGCAGGTTAAGCAGAAAAACCAAGCAATCAATCACAAAAACTCTGAACTACCATATTATGGGGGACATAAGTGGTTTCTGAAAAACAATGCTAAGGCACACTGGCAGGTATACAAGCGCCTCAACTTCTGCACTTGTACTCCATACCTACAGTTTTGAATGCTACCAACCTGACATTTTTTATCTTCAGAATGGTAAGTCAACTCTCACTGAGCATAACGGAAATTAAGCACACTACACCTTAAATCAGATGCTCAGCACATCACACAGTTAAGACCATAAGAAGTTATTAAAATAATTAGTAATTACTTACTTGTAATGTGTTTGTATCCCATATTTTCAGGGTTTTATCAAATGAGCTTGATGTAAACATGCCAGTGTCATGAGGGTACCATTGAACTGTCTCTACACTGAATTTATGTACATCAGGATGGCTCCTGTATAATAAATAATATAATTGCACTGATTAAGGTTAGCTGTGTATCTCTGATTTGATACTAGTTGACCAAGTATTGTTAAAAAAAAATATTTTTACTAGTTTTTAAAAAAAATACTATGCCAACATTTTCAGAAGTGACCAGTAATTCTGGTGCCTCAATTTCTGAGCGACCAATTTGAATCACCTTGGAACTGATCTTTTGCTGAGCTCAAATACCGAGATACCAAAATTTGTAGTCATTCTTGAAATTGTAGTCGCTTTGACATTTAATTATCATTTTAGCCCTGACCCTACAAACAAATTGACCCTGGTAAATTCTGATATTAATGAGACTCCATGGAGGAGTAATAATAATATGTTCAAATTTGCAGGTTTGGGCCCTTTAACAATTAATTATTTGCTATTGGTAATGTTAAATCACAACTATGACTTAAGCGCTGTTAGGCCTTATAAAATTTTACTATTTTAGTACGTTGCTAATCACACTGTCTTCGTTCCAGAAGTAATCTAGGTCAGACCAACACTTAAGGGAATTTAGTATTTTGAAACATAAGTCCTGTTTGATTTCATCTGAACAGGCATCTAAATAAATTTCAATATATTCAGATATTGGTAACTGTTTAAGGTAACAGATCACAATCTCAAGTGGTTGTTAGGTAACTAACTGTGCATGTGTACACAGCTCTCTCAGTCAGTGTTGTGTGCAATCAACACACACCTCACTTCATGGGTCCTTGCTGTATGTGCATGTCACTTTAGTAATACCAGTAGAAAAAGGATTATGTGGACAGAAATCAGCATAAACTGACAAATATATATGTGTGCAACAGTAAGTGAAATGTCTAGTGGGCCACACGCAGAACCTCGATGGACCACATGCCCACCACTGCTACAAATAGCAGAACTGTACAGACAAGTGAAGTGCACAATCTGAGTTTCCCTTTCCTTCTGAAATTTAAACACTTAAGCCGTTATCTGTGTCTGCTGAGAAAAATATGTCATCTTAGAATGAGTCTCTCCTGGGCTAGGCAAAGTGTCTTGTATTACAGTTGGCAGATGATTTTTTGGTAAAATCGCAATCTGAAGCACAGTCATGCGGCTCAGAATCTGTGTTTAATTTTGACCATGAGATAAAAATGGAAGCCCAGTTTTCAGTAATGATCATGACTTTTTAATCTCTCAAAAATTTGCAAATTGCTAATTTTTCTTAAAGATACGACTCCGGTCATAGTACTTAGATCCGATGGGCTCTTCAGGTTGGATTACCACAAAGTAATTTATTCAGGGCTCCCCTGATAAACACAGATTACAATACTGAAGAACACTGCAGCACCAGTACTTTAGACACTTCTCTTCTTAACTAACCAGAGGCAGTTAATAATTGTCTTGTGATGTCTTGAAGCACGAAGCGGGATAGCTAGGGTAAGTTTTTAGCATAGCCAGTTTAATTAGTTATAATTCACACAGAATTCCAATATATTAAATCATAGTAGGCTCTTTGCCTCATTTTAATTCTCTTTTGTAAAAATGTATTTCCCACTATATCATTGGGTAGAGTCTAATGAATGTGATTACATTTTACTATTAGTATTTAAGGCTAGAAATAATAAAGGATGTATCTCTCTGAGGAACTAAACTGCTGTGGAAACATACTGCCACACCCTCTCATAGTCCGGGGATATTAAAATGTGGGTAATTGTGTAAACATGTAACTGCTGAAAAACACACACTTGCAGCCGTCTCACTGGGAGCGGGCAGCCCTGTGCTGCTGCCTCTGATACAGGGAGAGCAGCATGGGGCAGCAGGAGGTTCCCTAGGAGCCAGTGTGCACCTAGAGCTGGCTTTTAAGCCAGCTCCCCACATGTACCTGCTCCCGCCTGCATCCCCACTTCTACCCCATGCTGCTGCCTCTGATACAGAGGCAGCAGCATGGGGGTAGCAGTTGACTCCTTAGAGGTGGGACAAGAACCTGAGTGTGACCATGAAGATTAACCAATAAGCCCAGGCTTGGTTTTCAGCTATGGAATACGCCACTGACTCTTGACACACACTAAGAAGTATAATGATGGCATTGTTCCAGGCTAGATTCAGAATTATTCTCTTACTAGATTTACCTGGCATTGCTTGGGTCCTTCAGGGCAGGGGCTTGGGGAGGCAAGAGGCTCAGAGCCAGAAATGTGGGGGGCATAGGACTCAGTGGACAGTGTGAAGGAGGGGGTAGGGAGGTGTGGGAAGGGTTAGGTAAAGGGGCGGGGATGGCTGCCAGCTGTTCCCCGGGGCTGGCCACTGGCAGCAGGAGACTGTGTAGCTTGCCTGACAGCTGCTCCCTGGAGTTGGGGTGCCTGCAATCCCCCATGGTCATTTGGGAGTATATCTGTCCCCCATGCTTACTGCCCCCCATGGTCATTCCAGGTCTAACTGTGCCTGTTATTACAGCCCTCCCTTTCCATTTGATGAGAAACAATCACAAACGATGCACATTCCATTATCCTGGCACAACCAAACCCTTACCTTGCTTTTAGTTATGATAAGAGGAAGCTGCATACCAAATTTGGTGGTCCTAGCTCTTACTGTTTAGGAGGGGTCCTTGATGGATGGACAGACTAACAGACATACAGATGCACAAACTCTGTCAAATATGTAATAGATTTAATGTTTTACGTTAGTGTACATTTGCTTCAGGATGCTTTCCTATTCTGGGATTTATTCATTTAAAGTTAAAGTTAATTATGATTTTAGTTTGTTCAGGTGTATACTTAGGGAACATCTACACATTAGGGCTAAAGCCGAAATAAGCTATACAACCTGAGCTATGTCAATTGCTTAGCTTAAGTCGAAATAGCTTATTTCAGCTTTGGCACTGTCTACACAGCAGGAAGTCCGACAAAGAGCACTCTTCCTCCAACTTCCCTTACTCCTCGTAAAATGAGGATTACAGGAATTGGAATAAGAAGTCCTCCAGCTCAACATTATTTTGACATTGTTGAAGTAACTGCTTGCAGTGTAGATGCAGACTATGTTATTTCGGAGTAACATCAGTTATTCTGAAATAACACTGATGTGTAGACCTAGCCCTACAGACTGAAGAATATTAACATAATCTTCTATTCTTAAACCATGCTTCGATGTATGCTTCATCATCTTTTTTTTCCTGTCTCAATTTAGGCCTTTTTCTGCTGTTTTAGGTAATCTTTGCTGCAGTAGTTAATGCTTTATCTAGTTCACATACCCAACTTCTAGGCTTTGAATATCCAGGTATGAGAATAAAGGGAGACAGTACAGGCAGTCCCCGACTTACGTCGGATCCGCACTTACGAACGGGGCTTTCTCGCCCCGAAGCTCACAGGCAGCGGTCAGCCACCTCGAGCTCCGGGGCGAGAAAAGCTGCTCCCGGTGCCCCTGGTCTGCTGGGGACCGTCTCCAGCAGACCAGGGACACCGCGAGCAAACCCGCAGCAGCGGGGGCTCCCCTGCTTCTGAGGCTTTGCTCTGGCAAAGCCTCAGAAGCGCAGGGACCCCGCCGCGGCTGCGGGTTTGTTCCCGGTGCCCCTGGTCTGCTGGGTACTATCTCCAGAAAACCAGGGGC